CCCTCTTCTCCTCTTGGTCTCGAATAATATCCATAGCCCTCTTCGTCAGTGAAATCCCCTCGTGCTTGATTTCATCTATCCTGCAATACACCCTGGAGTACCTCTCTGCCGCCAGGTCGAAAAGCCCGACCTGGAAAACAATCGTCGCGGCCGTATGGAAAACAGTGCGGTACGCGCAGCAACACTCTCTGCGCTGTACACTTGTAGGCAGATGTACTTGTTCTGACGCACTGCTTCCCACCAGACCGGCACCCCGTACATTATCACGGAGTTGATGACACTCGCGTATACCTTCCTCCTTTGCTCCCCCGGACCGCGCAGATTGGGCATCAGTCGATTAAGGAGCCATTCTCTTCATCCGGGACGCTAGTTTCTCAAAGTGGGGCCTGAAGCTCCACTTGCTATTGATGACAATGCCCAGGTACTTCATCTCACTTCCTACCTGGATCCTTGTTCCCTGAACCTCGATCCACTGTCCCGGCTCGATCCCGCCATCGGGAAAGGCAAACGCCTCCGTTTTCTCAGGGGCGACTCAGCCCTAAGCCGTTGATTGCCCTGACAACCATCGCCACACTTATTTCAACCTTCAGCCGCGCCTCTCGCCAGTCGACCCCCGTCGCGACGATAAACGTGTCGTCCACATAGCAAATAAACTCACACTCACCAAACAGATGGACCGCCAATACCCCATCATATGATTATCCACAATTTGGGGCCTAACACTGAGCCCTGCAGAACTCCACACGTTATTGCCACTCTATGTACTCCATCGCGATCAATGTAGGTGAGATACCTGTCACTTAAGTATGAGTCAAAGACCGCTCTAAGGTACTCGAGTACCTCCTTGTCCACCAATGCCTTCCGGATGCTGTCCCACGGAAACGAGTCATTCTTAATATTTAGGCCAATGACGATCACCTTCTTTCCATCGTCGGTGGCAGACCCAACCATCTCTCGGAGACACCCGACCGCATCCACAGTGGACCTCCTCTCTCTAAAGCCGAATTGATACAGCGAGAGGCCCTCCCTTTCGTCGAGATGCTTCATCAGACGGCGCATCATTATCCTCTCTAGCAACTTCCCGCATCCATTCAGCAAGCAAATGAGTCTATAAGATGATGGTAAACCCACAGGTTTGCTCAGCCTTCTTGCTCAGCAAAACCAACTTTGCCACCTTCTATTTCTGCGAAAAGTGCCTCGTCTAAGCACTTATCCAAACACCTCTTCCTCTCGAAGGCTCTCGAAGGCATCCGACAGTCGTCGCAATTACTCTGTTGTGGATGCCATCAGGGCCCGGCGCTTTCCTGTTCGAGCGGATTCTCTTTATGCACGCATCGAGCTCCGCATCTGTAACCTCGTCACTTGGATCCCACGCACCTCTCTCCTGTATTTATCGATTGGACGAGCAGGGAAGAGGGTCGACACGATCCTAGCCACATTCATCTCGGGAAGCGCCTGTTCAACGTCCTTTTCCTCTCCAAGAGATCCCCATCCGGCCATCTCAGACTCATCTCGATGTATTTGTGTCAAAGGCCGAGTCCACGCTGTCCAGCACGGCCCAATCGCCGACAAGATCGGCCGCTCTCGCATTGCCGAAGGTCATATCCACCGCTGATTGCCCCTGCTACCTGAGGCATGTAGGGGAGCCACCCCTATTCAAGACCTGAAGATCCCTGCTTACCAGCCAATCCGCGAGAATCCTTCCGCGCTAGTTTTCCTTTTTGTCATCCCACTCGTGAGACCTCGCGTCGAGGTCTCCAATCAGCAGCGTTGGGCTGTCTCTATGGGTCTGCGTGAGTCCTGTCAGCTCGTTTAATAGGGCACAGAAATCACCAATGCTCCGATTGGGGGAGAAATAGCCGTCGATGACAACGACACCTCCCCACTCCACGCAAACCCAATCCTCACCCCCTAAAGCTAAGATTTTGCACATATAAAAAAAATACGTGTCTCTTAGATTTTTGTGTTTAAAAACATATTTTAAGAAGAATTAAATTGGTGTCAGACAGTTGTGATACTGTCTCTTATACACATCTCTGAGCGGGCT